TTGTAAAAATAGCTTCAGTGGCATCTGACCTCCTCTAACTTCATGAGGGGAAAAAGAGAATCATCATCAACATCCACCCAAGACCGATTCCTATGAGGTGGAGGTCAAATATTGCCTCCTCTCTCCAACCATTTCACCAATTCTAACACTAGCTGTCCTTCCCACAGCACTCTCTACTCTCTACTTTGAAGATTTGTTGCAATGGCACACAGAACTCACAGACCATACTCACAATTATGGGGTTTATTAGGGAAGTAACAGGTTACAATTCAGGATTGTACTTACTCTGTGGTCTGGGAAGCCCACAATATCATCTAACACTGGTCTCTGGTTCTACAGCCACTATTTTGCTGCTGCTGCTTCTCACTGTCTTGTGCTATCTCCAGTGTTACAACTATCTGTCTCCTCACCCTAGGAGGTTCTCAGCACATGTTCCTTGGGGCCAAAGGATGGTCTCCACTCTTCAGCTGTTCTTCTTGTTGGTTCTCCGTGCCCAGTTCTGAGATGGCTCATTTTAAACTTAGTGGGATGGCAATATTGACCAATCCTCTTTAAGGTTCTATACATCTTATTTGTATAATCCCACCCCAAAAAGTGCCATGCTCTTATATGCACTATTAGCAAGCTATCTGTTTTGGTTACCTAGTGCCGCCCCAGCAGAAGATACCACAAATGGGTGGAATTGCTTTAACAAATAGGAGTTTATTTCTCTTACAGTTTTGGAGGCTAGAAGTCTGAGTTCAAAGCACCAGGCTCTAGGGGCTGGGTGAAATCCTCTTGACCTTGGGCTTCAGCTCTGTCTCTTGCTCCCGGCCCACTGAAGCTGGAGGCTTTCTTCACTCAGGCAGCTGCTGCTTGCTGAGGCTGACAAGCCCAAGGTCGATAAGTACAAAGTACAAAGGCACAGTCCCAATATTACGAAACCACACAGCAGGCCATTGATTCAAACCCCACTAACAGTCCCAAGATCGGCAGACACCACGGCAGGCTGCTAAATAATGATTCAGCTACATGCAGGATTCAAACATGCCAAAAGCTGGAGACCTTCTTCAAAGTTGCTTCTTATATACTGGAAGCAGACCACATCCCTAAAGCAGCTACTCAGCTGCTCCAGTAGATTCCACCAGGGAGTTAATTACCAGTCTCATCAAGGGGAATAACTATATCCAGCTGCCCAGCCACTTAAAAACAGGCCCAGTCAGGTTTGCAGATAACTTTAACTACCATACTATCCAATCCCCTTGGTAGGCCACAAGCACCTCATGTGCATAGTCCCAACCAGTTATTTGGTGGGAGTAACAGGACCATGGTGAGAAATATAAATGCATTCCACTGCGACCAGGTTTGCTGGTCTGATAGAGCTTGGTGAAGCCCAAGACTATGGCCCCTAGCTGCCCTTCAGGTCTAGAATTGAATCCCCGCTATGGCTTCCAGCCAAACAAAAGACAGGCATATGAGCTGAACATTTACATTATGTAGATACACTCCTTGGAGAGATCAATCATGGGAGAATAGAAGGACTGTGTATGCACAGGGAGACAGCTCAGGGGGCAGGAGTGTATGGGAAGGAAGGACACAGGAAAGAGGTAACTATGGGGAGGAAGTAGAAAGAGAGCTGTTTTATTGTGGGAAATTGCAGTCAATGTCATGAGACAAAGTATATGTGAACTGCTGTATGGAAAATGAATTTGCTCTGTAAACTTACACTCAAATCACAATTTTTTTT